CCATCTCTTAAAGGGCACAGGACAGGGACACAGGTGCACAGTGGGGAGGATGGGGCCCCGGGCAGTGGTCCTGGGTGACACTGGGCGCCTGGCATGGCAGGGCCCCACTGGGCAGAGCTGTTTGGGAGGCAGCAGGGGTGGGGCTGGTCTGGTTTGGGGTCTCTGCTGGCCTCAACCTTTGGCCTGATGAGGACATTACACTTGGGGCAGTGACGCCTGTAGACAGAGTGACCCTGGGACCCTGCACAGTGCCTGGACAGCGGGCCGGGCCAGGGTGGGTGCTCATGCAGCATGCCCAGGGAGGAGCACTCCAGACCGGATGTGGCTGTCCTCAGCCTCCACTGCAACGAGGTGGCTCTGCCATGACCCGAGGGTTGCTCTGCTTGGTCCCGCAGAGCGGCAGCCCCACCCTGGGCCCAGCCACGTGTGTGCTCAGGAGGGGTCGCCCGGCCAGGCAGAGGAGCAGGGCCCGGGCCAGGTCTCGGTCACCCCTGCCTGTTAACTGTGGCCTGGGCCGTGGCGCGTGTGTCCACCCTCCACAGCTTGCCTGACGCTCGGGCTGAGGACGCTTCTCTCGCGTCCTGCCCTCAGCAGGTCTGGCTTGGCTGCCGTTGGGAAGGTGCCTGGGTTAGGTGACCAGGAGGAGCCACTCCTCGCACAGTGCCTAGTGGCCATGGTTGCAGGTGCCTCTCCACACTCAGGCTGACGTGGCTGCCAGGACCCCGCGGGCACAGGGTGCAGTTGGCAGGAACCACACTCCTGCTGGCTGCCACTGCCCTGCCTCCTCCCCATGCCCAGGGCCTGTGCAGGGGAGCGAGCTACCCCAACTGCTGCCGTCCAAGCGGCCTCTCCACCCAGCACGCCAGGCTTCCGTCCCTGGAGGACTCTGACCACAGAAGTGGGTGCCACGGGGCCTCCCACCTCCCCCTCCTGGCCGGCCGGTCCATTTCCAGACTGAGCCCGGACACAGTGAGCAGGTGTAGGTCAGGTGCAGACAGGTCAGTCAGTCCAGAGAGGCGCCGACGTGTGCAGGGACAAGAGTCCAGGGGCCGTGGCCACGCGTGAGACCCACAGTTGGGGAGAGGAGGGGACAGGAGCCTGCAAGGCCTGGGCGCTGCTGTCCCTGGGTCAGAGAGAGGGGCCGGGTGGCCCCAGGGGCCTCTAAGATCAGCAAGATGGCGTTGGGTGGGAGCTGGTCCTGGACCCTGGGGCCCAGCCGTCAGGGGACAGGGGACAGGCCCCGCCTGGTCACTGCTTCTACCGCCTAGGGTGGGGCTCCGAGGCTGCTCCCCAGGCCCAGCCCGGGTCCCCCAGCCTGAGGCCTGCTTTGCCCGGCAGATCTGGGGGACCTGGCTGGGTCTCCACGCCACCCCATGCTGGCAGGAAGGAGGAGAGGGAGGGTGGGCACAGCCCCGGGGTCTGGGCCGCACCCCGCCCCTGAGTGACCCGCCTGTGTCCACAGACGCTTCCACCCCTCCCTGGCCGCGCACCAGCGCTGGATCCGCGAGCGCAGTCACGAGTCCTACGCCAAGAACTACTCGGTCATCTTCCCCCATGATGAGCCGCTGGCCGGGCGCAACATGAGGAGGGGTCCCCTGCACGAGGTACCAGGCCGGGGTGGAGGGGACCGAGGAGCTGCAACTGTCAGCTCGTCAGGCACTGCATGTCGGGCCGGTCCTGGTGCTGAGCACTGTGTGGCCTGGGGCCTGGGTGGCAGTCAGAGAGGAGCAGCCAGACTGCAGTGGGCTGACAGGCTTCCCACCGTGGAGCCTGCTTGTGATTCTTTGCTCTCTGGTGAGCTTCTATTTATATGGCAAAACCCGCTTTCCCATGCCCTCTTTGAGGCCTGTCCCTGTGCACATTCCTGTATCTCCAAGGACCCACGTGTCCCTTCCCTGGGCCTCCTGTCTGCCTCCCTCCATCCCCATCCCCTGTGCCGGAGGCTCTGTTCCCTGGGGAACTAAGTGATGGCCTGGTCACCCTGGTTCCCGAGGGCTGAGGGGCTCGGGGAACGGCTGTTGAGTAGGGGCAGCAACAGGCATTCTGGAGCAGAGCCTCCCTCACTGGGCACGCCCGTGCCAGGGCCTGGAGGGCACCTTTGTGCCTGCTGCTCTCCCTCAGCGGGTTTGAGTTCCACCCACACTTCAGTGCTGTCAGAACTCCATTCTTTTTCATGGCTGTGTAATGTTCCAGCACTGTCCAGAGTACATTTGGATTATTTTTGACAGACAGTGGTGTCTGACGATGGAGCAGTGCTGGGGACTCGCCTAGGAGCGAGGCAGCCAGGTCTCACAGGTGGCTCTGGCTGCTGGAACACAGTGCCACAGACAGGGCCTCCCAGCCCTCACGACCCCAGGTGACCTTGACCACCACCTGAGGTAACTTGCACTTCTGGTGGTCTTTGACCACGGATCACTTCATGTGGTCACTTCCTGGCCCAAACACAGTCACACATGGGCAGGGCCGCTGCAGGGGCATTGGCAGGGTGCTCGGTGGTCTCCAGGTTTGGCTCTGGACGGGGTCCAGGCCCTGAGTGTGAGGAGGCCCCTCTGTCCTCCACACCCCGGTGTGCCGGTGGCCATGGTCACTCTGTCCCCACCAGTGTCTGGCTGCATGACGGGTGCTCGTGTCCCTGCAGGAGCTCCTGGGACGAGGCTGCGTGTTCCAGGAGCGACACGGCTGGGAGCGGCCTGGATGGTTCAGCCCACAGGGTCCAGCCCCAGTGAGTGGCCAGCAGCTCGCCTGGATGCCTCTGCCCTGCTCTCGAGCTAGGCAGGCCGTGGGGGCGGTGGCTGTCATCTGAGCCATCACCTGACCACAAGGCGGGACAGGGAGACGGGCTTGCCCAGCGCTGGCGGTGGGTGG